GGGACAAATATCATATGTTCTCCCTGATTGGTGACAACTAACCAACCACTAAAAAGGAAACCTGTTGAAGTGAAAGGGACACTATGAGAAACAGTGACTTGATCAGCCCCTGTCCTGACTGTTGATGTACAATTTAATCATTTTCCTTTTTAGTATTTTTTGTTCTAGTTAATACTATTGGTTGAACTCTGTAATTAACAAACAGTTATTCTTAAGTGTTGAAATTTAACTGAAAAGTGACCCCTGTAAAATATAAGAGTGGGAATAAGAAAGGGAGGCGATGTACAAATTGGGACATGCTCAATCGGACTTGCCCCAAATGGTGGAGTTAGAAATGTGCCAGGGGATTCCAATTCAATCCCATCAAGGTGGCATGTACCAGTGCCATCTCACTAGTCCAAGGGATCAATTTCAGTTCACAATTGATCACACTGATAGGTCTCAGAGTCCAAGGGATCACACAAACAAGACTAGTGTCTGCTAATACTAACTGATAAAATAAAAAAGAGAGAGAACGATCCAATATGGGAAGTGGAATACACAGCAGACTCATAGAATGGCAGATGTCCTAAACAGCACTCTGGCCTCAGAATCAGCCCTGAAGGCATTTGGATCTGGCTGAAGAGCCCATGGGGGTATTTTAAGCATGGAAAGCCAAGACACTGTGGCAAAAAAAAACAAAACAAACAAAACAAAACAAAATAAAAAACCATAAATGAAAGATCTCTGTGAGTGAGATACCAGTAGAAAGAATGGGCCAATGGGCCATCAAAGGAGGAGGTACCTTTCTCTAAAGGGAGGAGAGAACTCCACTTTGACTATGACGTTGTCTAAAGAAGATCGAAGTCAGTGAATTCAAGAGGCTTCCATAGCCTTGGATACTCATGACTACAGCCTATGGAGATTTCTGTCACCATAAACAAGAGTGTCAAATAATTGTTAAGTCAACAACAGGAGTCACTTTGCACTTACTCTTCATGTAGGATCTCTGTCCTTAATGTGTTTCCAATGTGAATTAATGCTATAACTAGTACTTTAACAGTATTTTACACTTTGTGTTTCTGTGTGGGTGCAAACTGATGAAATCTTTACTTAATATATACTAAATAGATCTTCTGTATATATAGATAATTGAAAATGAATCTTGATGTGAATGGAATGGGAGAGGGAGCGGGAGATGGGAGGGGTGCAAGTGGGAGGGAAGTTATGGGGGGAAATAGGCATTGTAATACATAAACTGTACTTTGGAAAATTATATTTACTAAATAAAAGTTTAAAAAAAATGAATCTTGATGTGAATGGAATGGGAGAGGGAGTGGGAGATGGGAGGGGTGCAAGTGGGAGGGAAGTTATGGGAAGGAAGCCATTGTAATTCATAAATTGTACTTTGGAAATTTATATTTACTAAATAAATTGAAAAAAAGAGAATTAAATGAGAAAAAGTTCATACTGTGCTTAGAATAGTTTTGCACAGAATGAACATTGGCTGCTATAACTTCATTATCTTAAAAGGCAAATGTGATTTTAATCTCACTACACAAAGGTAATGAAAGAATATTTTGTTAATTTTGTTCACAGGCATAAATGCAAATCCTCAGATATTTTCCAACATAGAAAACAAAACAAGACACTCTGGTCTGTTGTTAAGACTTTCCACTGTATTTATATGGCATATTGAATTCATCATTTCTGTTATTTCAGATTGATTTTTCTTTGATATATCTATCTACTGGTAGAATTTTTCAACCAGGTCATATATGGTATTTATTCCTTTGGGACTGGCTTATTTACTAAGTATGATGTTTTCTAGTCTCATCCATTTTCTTGCAAGGGACCAGATTTCATTTTTTAAAAGATTTATTTGTTTATTTGAAAGAGTACAACAGAGATAGACAGCAACTGAGAAAGAGAGAGAAAGGATCCATCTTCCATCCACTGGTTCATTCTCCAGATGGCCGCAGCAGCCACAGCTGCGCTGATCTGAAGCCAGGAGCCAGGAGCTTCTTCCTCATCTCCCATGTGGGTACAGGGGCCTAAGGACTTGGGTCATCTTCTACTCCTTTCCCAGGCCATAGCTGAGAGGTGGATCAGAAGTGGGGCAGGCAGGTCTTGAACCGGTACCCATATGGGATGCTGGTGCTTCAGGCCAGGGTGGTAACCTGCTGTGCCACAGTGCCAGACCCCGGATTTCATTTTTTTTAGTCCTGTTTATCATTCCACAGAGTAAATATCCCATAATTTCTTTTTTGAAGGGTCTCCCACGTGGGTGCAGGGACCCAAGCACTTGGGCCATCTTCTACTGCTTTCTCAGGCCATAGCAGAGAGCTGGATTGGAACCGGATCAGCCAGGACTAGAATCAGCACCCATATGGCATACCAGCACTGCAGATGGTGGAATTTACCTGCTAAGCCGCAGGACTCTCTGCTCCCGTAATTTCTTTAACCAGTCTTCCATTGAGGGGGCATTTAGGTTGATTGCATCTCCTAGCTATTGTGAATTACCTTTACCCCAATATCCTGCCATCATTTGTTGATGTTGATATCTGTAGAGAAACTGTCCTAACCAGAGTGAGGGGAAACCTCATTGTGGTTTTGATTTGTATTTCCCTGATTGCTAGTGTTCCTGAACATTTTTTCATGTGTCTGTTGGCCATTGGGATTTCCTCTTTAGAAACATGTCTGTTTAAGTCCTTGGTCCATCTCCTAACTGGGTTGTTTGTATTGTTGTTGTGGAGTTTCTTATTCTCTAGATATTCTGGTTATTAATCTTTTATCAGTTGCATAGTTTGCAAATAATTTCTCCCATTCTGCTGGTTGCCTCTTCACTTTCCTGTTTCTTTTGCTTACAGAAGCTTCTCAGTTTGAAGTAATCACATTTGTTAATTTTGGCTTTGACTGCCTGTGCCTCTGTGTCTTTTCCAAGAAGTCTTTGCCTGTGTGAAGGTCTTGCAGGGTTCCTAAATGTTCTCTAATAATTTGATGTTCTCGGGTCAGAGATTGAGATCTTTAATCCATAATGAGTGGGTTTTTGTGTAAGGTGTAAGGTAGGGGTCTTGCTTCATACTTCTGCATGTGGAAATCTAGTTTTCCTAGCACCATTTATTGAAGAGACTGTCCTTGCTGTAGGAATTGAGTTTCTCTCCTTGACCAAATATAAGTTGGTTTTAGATGTTTGGATTAATTTCTGGTGTTTCTATTTTGTTCTGCTGGACTATCCATCAGTCCTTGTATCAGTACCAGGCTGTTTTGATTATGACTTCCCTGTAGTATGTCTTGAAAGTTGGTATTGTGATGCCTCTGGCTTTGTTTTTGTTGTGTAAGACTGATTTATCTATTAGAGTTCTTCTGTGCCTCCATATGAATTTCAGCATGATTTTTTCTAGATATGAGAAGATGTCTTTGGTATTTTGAGTGGTACTTCATTGAGTCTGCTAATTGCTTTTAGAAGAATGGATATTTTGATGATATTGATTCTTCTAATCCATGAACATGCAAGATTTCCCCATCATTTTCTATCTTTATTTTTCTTTATTGTTTTGCATTCTCATCATAGAGCTCTTTCACTTCCTTTTAAAATTATTTCGAGGTCTTTAATTCTTTTTTTAGCTCTTGTGAATGGGATGGATCTTAGAAGGTCTTTCACAGCCATGGCATTTTCTATGTATACAAAGGCTGTTGATTTCTGTGTATTGACTTACATCCTGCTACTTTACCAAACTCTTCCGTGAGTTCCAGTAGTCTCTTAATGTAGTTTTTCGCATCTCCTATATGTAGAATCAAGTCATCTGCAAGTTGAGAAAATTTGAGTTATTTCTTTTTTTAAAATTTATTTCACAGATAGAGTTAGACAGTGTGAGAGAGAGAGACAGAGAGAAAGGTCTTCCTTCCATTGGTTCACCCCCCAAATGGCCGCAACAGCCGGAGGTACGCCCATCCAAAGCCAGGAGCCAGGTGCATCATCCTGGTCTCCCATGTAGGTGCAGGAGCCCAAGCACTCAGGATATCCTCCACTGCCTTCCCGGGCCATAGCAGAGAGCTGGCCTAGAAGAAGAGCAACTGTGACCAGAATCTGGCGCCCATGTGGGATGCCTCTGCCACAGGTGGAGGATTAACCAAGTGAGCCACAGTAGTGGCCACTCTTTTGAAAGCTAGAGTTAGACAGAGAGAGAGAGAGAGAAAGACAGAGAGAAAGGTCTTCCTTCCTTAGTTCACTGTCCAAATGGCCGCTACAGCTGGAGGAACGCTGATCCGTAGCCAGGAGCCAGGATCTAGGATCTTCTTCCAGGTCTCCGATGTGGGTGCAGGCGCTCAAGCACCTGGCACATCCTCCACTGCCTTCCCAGGCCACAGCAGAGAGCTGTACTGGAAGAGGATCAACCAGGACTAGAATCCGGCACTCATATGGGATGCCAGCACCACAGGTGGAGGAATAAACAAGGGTGCCACAGCGCCAGCACCAGCCCCAGACAATTTGACTTTTTTTTTTTCTCAATTTGTATCCCTTTGATTTCTTTTTCTTACCTGATGGTTCTGGCTAAAACTCCCAGGACTATATTGAATAGCAATAGTGACAGTGGGCATCCCTGTCTGGTACCTGCTCTCATTGGAAATGCTTCCAAGCTTAACCCATTCAATACAAGGCTTGCTGTGGGTTTGTCATAAATTGCCTTGATTGTGTTGAGGAATGTACCTTCTATACCAGTTTGCTTAGAGTTTTTATCATGAAAGGCTGTTGCATTTTGTCAAATGCTTTCTCTGCATCTATTGAGATAATTATATGATTTCTGTTTGACAGTTTGTAATGTGGTGTATCACATTGATTTATTTGTGAATATTGAACCATCCCTGCATACCAGGAATAAATCCCACTTGTTCTGGGTTGATGATCTTTCTAATGCGTTGTTAGATCCTATTGGCTAGAATGTTGTTGAGGATTTTTGCATCTGTGTTCGTCAGGGAAATTGGTCTGTGATACTTTTTCTCTGTTGCATCTTTTTCAGGTTTAGGAATTAAGGTGATGCTGGCTTCATAGAAAGAATTTGTGAAGATTCCCTCCCTTTCAATTGTTTTGAGTAACTTGATAAGAATTGAGGTTAGTTCTTTTTTTTTTTTTTTGGCTTAGAAACATCATTTATTAGCTATGACAGGGAAGAGGAACAGTAACCATTGTGAAATAGGATGAAAACCATCTTCTTATTTAAAGGCTTAAATGTGAATCGTTTAAATATATTCATTAAAAGATAAAGATTGACAAAGTGAGTATAATAACAATATTCGGCTACCTCTTGTCTTTTGGACATTCACTAAATATACTGATTCAGACAAGTTCAAATAAAGCGATAGCAAAAGATATGTTAAAACTAATTGAAAGAAAGCTGGAGGTACTACACTAATTTCAGATAAATGGAATTCAGAACAAGGAAAATTATCAGAGACAAACAGGAAGATTACTTAATGATTAGGCAGCCATTGCTTTAAAACCTAGCAAATTTGTGTATACACCTAAATTCAGAACTGAAAAATATACTTCAAAAACCTACAGAATGAGGGTGGGCATTCTGGCAAAGCAGGGTACTCCACTGCTTGGGACACCTGTATTCCATTTTGGAGTGCTGTTTGGAATTCTAGATGCTCCCCTCTCAATCCATCTCTCTGTCTTTCTGCTGCATGGTTGACCAGGATGGAATTCCTGGCTTAAGCCTGCCCAGCTCCAGGTATTGCAGCCATTTCAAGTGTGAAACAGTGAATGGAAGATCTCTCTCTCTTTCTGTTTCTCTCTCTCTTTCTCTCTCTCTCTCTTGCGCGTGCGCGTCTGCTCTCTCTGTCTCTCCCCACTCCTGCTCTACCCAGACACCCTAACTTTCAAATAAATAAATATTTTTTAAAAATTGACAAAATTTCAAGGAGAGAGAGAAAGTTCCACTATTATATTTGGGAACATCAATCTTCCATTAATTGGCTGTTCAAAAATGCAAAAAACCAGAAGCATAAATTTGGCTTTAATAACCTTATCAATTACTTTGGTCTAATAATATTTACAGAATTCTTTGTCCAACAAGATCAAGCTTCCATGGATGGACCACAGTCTGGACAACAAAATACACCTGAAACTGTGAATGTTCACAAAACACATGAAGAATGTTCCCAGATAATAAATTTTAAGAAACTGTAGCAAGAAGAACAATTGAAGCATGAAAAAGAAAAGGAATGAAAATTGAAGTATAAATGAATAATATTGAAAAATAGGAAAATAATATATGAAAATCAGCAAAACCAAAAGATACTTCAGTGAAATAACAAATTCATAAACCTCTCTCCATGCTCATTAAGAAAAGAGAAAGACAGAAATTACCAGTATCAGAAATCAAAGAGTGGCCATCATTGGAAATGAACATTAATGTTCCATGGAAACTTAAGGATAATAAGGGGCTACTAAAATCACTATGCACAAAAATTTGATAACTTAAATGAACAGAACAATTGCTTGAAACACAAATTGCCAATACTTACACAAAAAGAAATATAATCAGTCAAGGCCCATTTCCTTTAAAAGAATTGAATCAAAGATGCATACTTCTTCCCACCACCACCAAAAAAAAGGAATGAAAATATCAGGCAAGGGTAACTCATAGTTGAATTCTACCATACATTCCAAGTACAAAAAAGGACAACTCTCTACCATTTCCTCTTGAGGTCTGAAGTGTAGATAATAATTTATAACTCAATTGGTGAAATCAGCATTACCTTAATAAAAAACTTGTTAAACTTCTAAGAAAGGAAAACTATAGAAAAACATTTCACATGAACAAAGATGCAAAATAAAAATAGAAAGCAAAATAATAATAGGTAAAATCCAACAATTTTATGTAGTACAAGCAAGTGGTATTTATCCCACGTAAGCAAGGCTGTCAGCATTTTAAAAAATCAATAAATTGGACATACTACACAAACTGCAAAAATGTTAAATGATTACATCAACTTTTGTAGAAGATATTTGGCATAAAAAAACTGAGCAAACAAGGAACAGAAGAGAAATTCCTCATCTAGATAAAGTATATCTACCAAAACCAGCTTTAATAGTGAAATTGGACAGTTTTCCCTTAAGTTGGAGAAAGGGGAAAGTGTCTTTTTCTCACCACTACTTTTCAGTGTTATGGTGGAATTACTAGACAGTGCAGTAACACAAAGAAAGGATACAAAATGCATACATATTGGGAAGGAAGACATAAAACTGCTAGCAAATGTCATTATTGCATGTATAGAAAATTCAAAAGTACATCATAAGTACCCCTGGAACAATGTTAGTGTAGCAAAGTGGCGAATTACATGTACAATTCCATTGTTGTTCCATGTATGGGTAAGAGCTAGGATTTGAAATTTAAAAACAAAATTAAGCATCATTTAAAATTGCATCAGGTTAAGAAGCAAAACCCAATCGGTGTCTTTTAACTGGACAGTTCAGGCCATTAACGTTCAATGTGACTAATGAAAAGTGGTAACTTTGCCCTGCCATTTGCCAAAGATAAGTTCTAATATATGCTTTGAATTCCCTGTGATCTTTTGCTGTGAGGTTTCCTTCCTTTATCTTCTTTCATACTGATGATCGTGTTTCTGTGTTTCTGTGTGTAACACATCTTTAAGCATCTGTTGCAGGGCTGGACGAGTGGCGACAAATTCTTTCAATTTCTGTTTGTTATGAAAAGTCTTTATTTCACCTTCATTCACAAATGATAGCTTTGCAGGATATAATATTCTGGGCTGGCAGTTGTTCTCTCTTAGTACCTGGGCTATATCTCGCCATTCCCTCCTAGCTTGTAGAGTTTCTGATGAGAAGTCAGCAGTGAGTCTGATTGGCGATCCTCTGAGAGTAATCTGACGTTTCTCTCTTGCACATTTTAGGATCTTTTCTTTATGTTTCACTGTGGTGCGTTTGATTACAACGTGTCGTGGTGAGGATCTCTTTTGGTCGTGTTTATTAGGGGTTCTGTGAGCTTCCTGTACTAGGATTTCTCTGTCCTTCTCCAAACCTGGGAAATTTTCTGCTAATATCTCACTAAAAAGGCCTTCTAATCCTTTCTCCCTCTCCATGCCTTCAGGAACTCCTAGAACCCGAATGTTGGGTTTTTTAATAGTATCCTGAAGATTCCCGACAATATGTTTTAGATTTCTAATTTCCTCTTCTTTTCTTTGATCTGACTGTATCCTTTCCTGTTCTCTGTCTTCTAAGTCCGATATTCTCTCTTCTGCTTCACCCATTCTGTTTGTAAGGCTCTCTATTGTGTTTTTCATTTGATCTATTGAATTCTTCACTTCAGTCACTATCACAGTTTCCTGTTGTACTAATTGTTTCGTTTCATTTTGATTTCTCCTTAATATTTCATTTTCACGAGATTTTCTATCTTGTCCATTAAGGCTTTATGTAGTTCAAGAATTTGTTTTTGAGAACTTCTTAATGTTCTTATCAATTTTTTGAGATCTGCTTCTTGCATTTCTTCTATGTCATCATCTTCATAATCTTGAATTGGGGTGTCTTTTTCATTTGAGGGCATCATGGTGACTTCCTTGTTTTTATTACCTCGGTTTTTGTGTTTGTTATTTGGCATATTGGAGATATTTGGTTTCTTCACTGTGGTGCTTTTTCTTGTTATACTATGACTCTAGATTAAGTGGACTATCTGTTTTTGATGGAGCCTTAGGGCTTGAGATGGGTGTGGCCTGAGAGCTCTGTTTGGTGTGCCAAAGGTGACACTCCCAGGTTAGGCATGGTAAATCTCTCTCTCTCTTTCTTTTTTTGATTCAAAAGGGAAGTAATTCTGCACAGCTGAACGAAGTTGGAGGTAGTTAGCAGGCAAATGATATACCCACAGGAGCCAGAGATCGGAAGCTCTTTCCCAAGGACCACACAGGGAATCTGTTCGGCCCTCGGAGTGGGCTCAAATTCTCCTTCAGTCTCCCACTGGGTTGCCAAAGTTACGGAATTGTAGCGTCTCTGGAGAGTACTCAGGTGAATTCCGTGAGTTCTCTCCCCCACCGTCTCTTTTTTCACAGTCTCAGTTCAGTAGCACCACAAATTTACTAGGTCCTAATCTCCTGTTAATTCTCCCCACCCAGAGTCAGGTTTTTCTGCTAGGCTCAGGGCCGGTGCAGACCTGAGGTCGCTCTGCTTATGACGTATGTCCAAGATGGCGCCTGCTCTTTGTCTTGCTCGCTCTTGAGAGGTGAGCGGAGAGAGAGAAACCCGTGTCCGTACCAGTCACCTTTTTTTTCCTCTCTCTCTTCCAGTTAGCCTGGTGAACTTTTTCCCCCCAGGGGTCGTTCCCTCTAGTCTCCTCTCTCTGCTTGCCTGCTGGTGTCTCGGGCTATTGAGGTTCAGCTCACCTCGCGTTCCAGCGCTGGTGTGTTGAGTCTGCCACTGGTGTCCCGAACTGTGGGCTCCCACGCTCTCCACGCAGGTCCGCTGTGAATCACGCGTTCCGGAAGAGTTTCTTCTGCTGTTTCCTCCCCTATTCTTCCTTGAACCTGCAGTATCTCCACTTTTATTAAACTATCTCTCCCCGGACTATCAGTGTGCTCCCTTCCTATTCCGCCATCTTGCCTCTCGAGGTTAGTTCTTTAAATGCGTGGTAGAATGCAGCAGTGAACCTTTCTGGTCCCGGGTTCTCTTTGTTTGAAAGGTCTTTATTACTGATTCAATTTTCATCTTTTTTTTTATCTTTTATTTAATGAATATAAATTTCCAAAGTACGACTCATGGGTTACAATGGCTTCCCCCCCCATACCGTCCCTCCCACCCACAACCCTCCCCTTTCCCACTCCCTCTCCCCTTCCATTCACTGCTGAGAAGAATATGTGTTTTTTAAGTGTAGGATGAAAAGTTCTGTAGATATCTGCTAGGTCCATTTGGTCTATAGTGTCAATTAAATCTGCTGTTTCCTTGTTGATTTTCTGTCTGGTTGATCTGTCCATTGCTGAAAGTGGAGTATTGAAGTCCCCCAATATTACTGTATTGGAGTCTAAGTCTCCCCTTTAAGTCCCTTAACATAGCTTTTAAATCACCAGGTGCCTTGTAATTAGTTAACTATTTTAGAATAATTACATCTTCCTGTTGAATTGGTCCCTTAATCATTATATAGTGCCCTTCTTTGTCTCTTTTAAGAAATTTTGTGTATATACTCTATTTGTCTGATATTAAGATGGCTATACCAGCTCTTTTTGTTTTCTGTTGGCATGGAATATCCTTTTCATTCCTTTCACTTTCAGTCTTTGTGCATCTTAGTTGGTAAAATGTGTTATTTATATACTGCAAATAGAACAGCTTTGTATTTAATGCATTCAGCCAGTCTGTGCCTTTTAACTTGGAAGTTGAGACCATTTACATCCAATGTTAGTGTTGATAAGTAATGTCTTTGCCCTGCCATTTTACCAAAGATATTCCTAATTTATACTTTGATCTTTTACTTAGGTATTTTCTTCCTTTGTCTTCTTTCATATTGATCACCATGTTTCTGTGTGTAACACATTGTTAAGCATCTTTTGCAAGGCTGGACAACTGGTGACAAATTCTTTCAATTTCTCTTAGTAATGGAAGGTCTTTATTTCACCTTCATTCAGAAATGAGAGCTTTGCAGGGTATAATATTCTGGGATGACAGTTTTTAATCTCTTAGGACTTGGGCTATATCACACCATTCTCTCCTAACCTTCAGGGTTTGTAATGAGAAGCCTGCTGTGAATCTAATTAGAGATCCTTGAAAGTAACCTGGCATTTCTCTCAGCAGTATTTTAGAATCTGTTTTTTTTTAACTTTTATTTAATATAAATTTCCAAAGTACAACTTTTGGATTATAGTGGCCCCCCCAAAAAAAATCCCTCCCATCTGCAACCATCCCATCTCCCAACCCCTCTCCCATCCCATTCACATCAAGGTTCATTTTCTATTATCTTTATATTCAGAAGATCAATTTAGTATATACTAAGTAAAGATTTCAACAGTTTGCACCAACACAGAAACACAAAGTTTAAAGTACTGTTTGAGTACTAGTCATACCGTTAATTCACATAGTATAACACATTAAGGACAGAGATCCTACCTGGGGAGTAAGTGCACAATGACTTCTGCTGTTGATTTAACAATTGACACTCTTATGTATGACGTCTTTACGTTTCACTATGCTGAAGTTTGATTACAACGTGTCGTGGTAAGGATATTTCCTGGTCATGTCTATTGGGAATTCAGTGTGCTTCCTGTACTTGGACAACCCTTTCTTTCTCCAAACTTGGGAAGATTTATGCTATTATTTCAGTAAAAGAGCCTTCTATTACTTTCTGGGACTCATAGAACCTGTATGTGGACATTTAAAAAATTCATGAGAACAGTAAAGAATGTATAAAATGAACAGCGGATATAACTTAGGGTATAAAAATAAAGTCTGGTGCTCTCTCATCAGAGCCAAGCCCTCAGCCTTGCTGTGAGCATGTCTCCCATTCCTCTCCACGCTGATGCTTCTCAGACCTTTGGAAACCCCGGAACTTCTGGAGCTGGTGCCCATGTGTGATGCCTCTGCCACAGGTGGAGGATTAACCAAGTGAGCCACAGTAGCGGCCACTCTTTTTTTTGACAGCTAGAGTTAGACACAGAGAGAGACAGACAGAGAGAGAGAGAGGGAGACAGACAGAGAGAGAGAGAGGGAGACAGAGAGAAAGGTCTTCCTTCTGTTGGTTCACCCCCCAAATATCCGCTACAGCTGGAGGTATGCTGATCCATAATAGGAGCCAGGATCTAGGATCTTCTTCCAGGTCTCCGATGTGGGTGCAGGCGCTCAAGCACTTGGCACATCCTCCACTGCCTTCCTGGGCCACAGCAGAGAGCAAGAAAAAGAAATTAAAGGGATGCAAATTGGGAAGGAAGAAGTCAAACCATCCCTCTTTGCAGATGATATGATTCTTTACTTAGGGGATCCAAAGAACTCTACTAAGAGATTATTGGAACTCATAGAAGAGTTTGGCAAAGTAGCAGGATTTAAAATCAATGCACAAAAATCAACAGCCTTTGTTTACACAGGCAATTCCATGGCTGAGAAAGAACTTCTATTTGTTTTATTTAAAGTCATAGTTACACAAAGAGAGGAGAGGCGGAGAGAGAAAGAGAGAGAGAGAGAGAGAGAGAGAGAGAGAATCTTCCATCTGATGGTTTCTCTGCAATTGGCTGCAATGGCTAGAGCTGCGCTGACCTGAAGTCAGGAACCAGGAGCTTCTTCCAGGTCTCCCACGCAGTTGCAGGGGCCCAAGAATGTGGGTCATCTTTACTGCTTTCCCAGGCCATAGCAGAGAGCTGGATGGAAGTGGAGCTTCTGGGTCTCAAAACAGCACCCATATGGGATGCTGGCACAGTTTTTTTTTTAAATTTATTTGACAGGTAAAGTTATACACAGTGAGAGAGAGAGAGACAGAGAGAAAGGTCTTCCTTCCGTTGGTTCACTCCCCAAATGGCCGCCACGGCCAGCACTGTGTCGATCTGAAGCCAGGAGCCAGGTGCTACTCCCTGCTCTGCCATGTGGGTGCAGAGGCCCAAGCACTTGGGCCATCCTCCACTGCTTTCCCGGGCCACAGCAGAGAGCTAGACTGGAAGAGGAGCAACCGGGACTAGAACCTGTGCCCATAAGGGATGCCGGCACAGCAGTTGGAGGATTAACCAAGTGAGCT